ATTGTTGTTTGGCGGGCCCGGGCTGGATTTGAACCCCCCACCTTAGGTGTATGTGGCTGGCGCCTTAGCTGCTTAAGCCACAGGCGCCGAGCCACCATTCTCTCTTAAAACGCAAACCTCTCCTCATCAGTTTACTGCCAAAAATTTACCTAAGTTTCAGCACTTCACCTTAAACACAGGTAGACAAGTTACAGAGTGCTTTTGCACCAGCACCTTAGTTCATTTTAGCAACCACACTTCAAGAAGGTAAAGCAGTTGCTATTGCTCCTTGCTTCATAAGTGAGGACACCTCTCTGATAGAAAAGCAAATTCAAGAGGTCCATTAACAGGCCAGGCACAGTGGCTCATGCCTGTAATCCTAGTACTCTGGGAGGCTGAGGCGGGTGGATTGCCTGAGCTCAGGAGTTCGAGACCAACTTGAGCAAGAGCAAGATCCCATTTCTAAAACTGCCAGGCATCTGTAGTCCCACCTACTTGGGAGGGTGAAGCAAGAGGATCACTTGAGCACAAGAATTTAAGGTTGCTGTGAGCCATAACGCCACAGCACTTTACCAAAGGAGACAAAGTGAGACTACGTCTTTAAAAATAAAAAAGAAAAAAGGTCAAATGAATAGGGCCAGGTCAGGGGGCCAGGATAATGGAGGCCACAAACGCTGGCCTGGCAGGACACCAGGCCCAGGACTTCTGAAACTACTAATGACAAACCCTTGAAGATACCCAAGAAGCATATATGAGCTCAGGCACAAGTGAAAACAAGCAAAGGCAGTAAAGCAAATTAATAAATCAGCAACTTTCATATCAGAATAAACTTGTATGAAGCAAGTTCTAAATTCTGAAACATACTAAGTTACCATTCACAGCTGCAAGTATACTTATACCAAAATTCTGTCTTAATTAGTAAGGCCATGATTACAGAGGGCAGCCCTCTCTCATTGAGCACAAAGTAAAACTGAGGTTAATGGACCACATTTGGCACAGATTTCCAAAACAGGTCCTCTGTTAACTCTTAAAATACTTCCTTTTTAAAACCATCAGGACCATTTACTAAATTTAAATTCATATTTCCCAAGGAACTGGGAAATTTTTTTTTTCACGTGAAACTCACTGGGAATTGATGTAATATTTGCGTCTTATAAAAAGTACTATGAAGTTGATCCGAAACAAAAAATTTAAGGGTAATACACCTGTATAATTTAAAGAAAAAGTGCAATGCTGAAATGCAAGTAAGGAAAACACACAACAATGAAGTACAGGCACAGGGATGCCGAGGACACACTGCCCTTTAAGTTTTTATTTTGGTAGAGACCCCAGTTAAGTAGTAATATTCTCAGTCACCTCAGAATAGGAGATGAACACTACAAAGGGGTGCTCTTTTTTGTTGAGGCCCAATTGTTTTCACTATCTACTACCCCAGGAACAATCCTTTCTGTGGCCCTGAAGTAAAACCTTGCTACTACTGGAATGGCCCCATCTCTACACCCTTCCTACTCTCCACCTGAGACACTGGAAGCAGAGGACAATGAACCAAGTAAGACCCCAGAGTCCTTTTCCCCCTTCTTATCAGTCTTTCCCCTTGAGTTTCAAAAGTCTGTTCCTTTGTTGCATTTCCAGTACTGGAGTCTGGGTAGGAAATACAGCTCTCTTCCCATTTCTAAGCTACTGTAGGCTGTTTAAAATAGCCAACCTTAGAAAACCATCAAGGATCCTTTGGGAAGAAAACAGCCTCTGGGGACCTCTTTTACTCTCCAAAAAAAGGATACTTACCGTGTATGTCTTCATATAGTTTCAATATAGAAAGTAACAGGCTCTTGGAAAGAGGGGACACATCCCACCCCCAACGCCGCCCTGAAGTGCCACCTAAAGTGAGAAGCCTGTCTGTAGGCCTCAGGACGGGAGAGCCGGGGTGACGCCCGGCCAGGAAGGGAAGGATTCCTCGGCACCCGAGACGGGTAGGGGTCTCCGGTGGGGATGGGCTGCCCTACCTTTTCCTCGGGGCCCCGAACCGCCGGCGCCGCCACTGCCCACCGGGCACGGCGGGTCCTTCCTAGGCCTCTTGCTCTGAGGCCTCACGCTGGACCTCAGGAAGTGGTGCTGGTCCTGGGGGCTGCCCTGCGGCGGGGACGACGCCCGCGGCGCGCCGGGGGGCGCGGGGGTGCCGTCAACGCCGGTCCGGGGGGTCTTCTCGTCCCTCTTTGTGCCGCGGCTCTCCTCGGCCGCGTCGGCGCCGCCGGCCCCTTCTCCTTCCAGGGACTCTTCATCGGCCGACCGCTTGCCCAGCTTCTTGAGCCCTTCCTCCCCGTTGCCGCCGTCGCCCAACTTCACTGTCATCCTGTGCGAGGGAGCGGTAGGAGGCGAGTGAGGCGGCGGCCGGGAAGTTTAGCGCCCGATTCCTCTCAACATGGCCGCCGTTGTTTGTTCCAAATCCCCTCTCGGCGGCCCGGCCCGGCCCGCACAGCCCGCGGGGGCCCAATGGGACCCTCACGGCCCGCGCCACGGCGCCCGGCCCTGCCTGCTGCCCGGGGCGCTACGGGGCCTGCCCAGGAGGCGACCCGGTTGAGGCCCGCGCTCCAGCAGCCACGGGTAGGGCGCGACAGCCCGGCAGACCCTGGCCCGCCCCAAGCCCATACCCAGGGAGCGCGGGCGCAGGTCCCGGCCGAGCGCGGGTTGGGGCACGGATCCCAGCTGCCAGCCCCCAACCGCAGCCACCTACCCTGCGGGGCCTCGGCTCATGGCCTGGCCCTGCGCGCCGGCCTCGCTCCCTCGCCGCCTTGGCCGGCCGGGCCGCAGCCACAGCTCTCGCCCCTCGTCCCCACCCCCTCCCCGCCCCCCGAAATGCGCGGGGCTCCCCGGCCCCGCGCACCTGCCCCGCGCGCCGGCCCCCAGAGTTGGCCCCGGAGGAGAGCCGAGCAGCTCGGATAGACCCTGGGACGGGAAAGGCGCGGGCCAGCCCGCTCGCACGGGGAACTCCATGGTGGCCTAGGGCCGCCGGGCCATCTGCTTATTTTAAAACAGACATAAAGAATAATAAGCTCCGAATCTCTGGGAATCTTCTCAGAGTGGGAAATGTGTGCTGCTACGGGGATTTATCAATTAAAAATGCTTTTTCAACAAAGGAGTTTGTTGCATGGAACAGGTTGGAGCCACCCTGGAAAGTGACAGCCCTGTTATGTCCTGGTCCAATTGTAAGAATAAGTGTAAGATAGAGGTGTTAAAACTCTTGCAATAAAATTCTTGCATTAACTTTGCTAACAACTTACCCACTGCCTTGTAAAACGTCAACAACAAAATGCAATGACAAAATGTCTGCAGCCCTGAAAACACAGCCACTCAAAAATAAGCTAAGAGAATCAGGTATACACCAACATGTTAAGCCAAGAAATAATCAGCAATGTGAACGTGATGAAAATACAAAGAAAAATATTAGCTTCCTGAACAGATATTGTCAACTAACTTCTACACAACTGTTGAAGAGAAATACATTTCCATTTAAAGGGAAAACAAGAGCAAGGCACCAACACAATGAAATATAGAAAAGTGGTTATGGACTTCTCAAGAAGATTAAGAAATGGGTAAAAATCGTAATAATGCCACTACTCTGATGTACAATGCTACAAAATGATCTGGAGCAGTTTTCATCTCTTGAAATCGATCTTATAAATCACTTGAGTTCATGCTAGTTTTTAAAAACCCTGCCAAAAACCAAAACCATACAAGACAAATGCCCAAACTCAAAGGACTTCTCACTGTTCATTCGCAGCCCATCCATTTCTACTTTAAAAACCTAAATCCCTCAAAGCTACTCTCTGGGCTATAAAGTGGAGAACCGCGCTCCCCAGAGACCTGCTGTACCAAAGCTACCCAGTCGACCCAGGACCCAAGCAAAACAACATCAGCCATCAGAATAAACTCGCCAGTTTGCTGTGCTTCATACTGAAGACACCAACCTCTTCAGAACAGAGAAGACATCGACACCTTTCAGACTTCTCTAAAGGAAAAGAACAACACGGAGATCCATCTTTGGCCGAAAACTTCCAACGTTACTTCCTAACCCTTCACAGAGGATGCAGAGTCACCTTCAGCCCCATCCCAGCTCCACACCCTTAGTCGCGTTTAGGGCCGGGACGAACGGAAAACTCCCTCTGGGGCAGATCTCTGGGGGCACACAGATGTTGCCAATACAACCTGCCTCCGCCCAGGGCTCCGCGGAGCTACCCAGCCGAACACCCTACACGCATAACACGGCCTGGGGCTCCCACAGACGCCGCCCGCGGCCTCTCCCTCTAGGCCGAGCCTCGACGTGACAGCCCGGCCGGGCGGCCAAGCGCCCAGCTTCCGGTCACCTTTTTCATCAACGCCCCACGGTAGCCTGGCTTCCCGGGCCTCCCGGGACCTCCCCGGGTGCCCGCAGAACCGGCCGGGCCGGCCAGCCCCGGCCCCCGAGTGCCGGCTGGAGCGAGGACTCTTCGCAAATCTGGCCGTCCGGCTGTGGAGTGGTGGCCGAGAGGCGCTTGCCCCGGCTCGTCCCCTCTGCGAACCCAAGTGCGGCTGACAGGGTAGCGGCGCCGGTGCTGCCACCGCGCTCAGCAGCAGTTCCGGTTACAGCGGCCGGTGGAGACCTCGGAGCCGGCGCGCCGGGGCGGAGCCAAAGCGCCGCCCGGGCGTGCGGACCGGGGCGGGGCGACCTGTGCAGGGGAATAGCCCGCCCCGGGTTTCAGCCACGCGACACCTAAAGACGTTCCCATTGGTCGGAAGCGGGCGCGCGCGCTCGTACGCAAGGGCACGGGGCGCGGACTGGGGGAGGGGCTAGGCGTAAGTACTGTTGTGACGCAAGCCTCGCGACCGTGCGGGCTGTGCGTCTCTTAGGATTGGTGAACCGGCAGCCAATAGCTCAGCGCCCGGGGTGTGATTGGCTACCGTCGTGTTGACGGATGCGTGAGAAGAAAACGCTGCAGCCGCTGAGAGTCTGGTGTCAGGCTCGAACTTAGCCAGCTTCAGAGGAAAGACAGCAGAGGATTTCTGAAGGGCAGGATAGCGCTCTTTCTCTCTTGCTTTAGCGTCGCCGACGTTGCTAGTCACTTAGGTCTCTTTCATTATAGGGAGTCAGAAGTGTTTTTACAACTTAGTGTTTCTCCACCTAGTGTGCCCGAACTATCCCCTGGCTTCGCTGCTCTTGCTCTTGCTGATGACTAGATATTGTTTCAAATCTAACGTCTGGGTCAGCACGACTGGGGACGGCCTGCGCGAGGCAGGTGGCCCTGACGGGAAGGCCTCTCTCTGGCCGGAGGTGGTCCAGAAGGGTGCTTGTCACAGGTGGCCTGGTAATCCCAGGAAACCATGCGGAGCCGACTGGTTTCTGTCAGGTGTGCTCCTCACTCGCAGCCTCCGTCTAAGCCCAGACAGCTCAGAGCCCAGCGAGAACGTGGGGTTCAGCGTCCGCGCTAAGAAGACCTCGCTTTTAGGCGAGCCAGAGAGGAGTGTGGGTGAAGGGGACGTTCCGGTCCTGCCGCAGCTCTGCCGTCCTTCCCTTCCTGATTTACCTGGCACAGTATCGGAAGGCGTGGCTAGTGTCCCCAGACACGTCCGAGAGCATCCCCGCCTATCGCAGCCCAGCTCCAGCCAGCGACTCAAGTCGGATCGGGTGGCGGGGATCCCAAGCCGGAGCCGCCCGAGTTCTCCCGATCTACTTCGGCTCTTTCCGGTAGCCTCAGCTTCGCTCACCTTCGGGCGTTTGCGCATTCCTCGCGCGGCGTTGTCCCGGCAACGCGCTGCAACTCCGAGGCCTGGCGCGGGTGAGTGGCTTTCCCGGCCAGGGCGGCCGAGGTCCTGGGAGGGCCGGGAATCAGGGGCTGGGGGATAGGACTTACTGAGCTTGTCCCGCCATCTCGCCGCTGCCCAGTCCTTGGGGATTGTTGCGGGTCCCATCGAAGCCAGGGCGTGCTTGACACGGTGTCCAGGTGGCTCGTGGTACCCTGGTTGCCACCTCTGGGCACAGCCGCGGGTCTTTTGAAAGGGACAGGGAGGGGATGTGGGCACCGCCATTGCCCCCCGGTAACAGCAGGATTTGGAGAAAACAGCAAGAAAAAAACGTTCTGCACCCGGCTGAACGTCGATAGCTTAAAACCCTGTCTGTGGGCCCAGTGCACTAGTTGGAGCCGCCGACACTGCAGCCCAGAGGCTAAAGGGTGAGGCGCTTTAGGTGACCACCAGTGCCAGCCCCCGAACGTCCACCCTTTGGATCCCATTCCTTGGGTTTCTTACACAATGTCACCGAGAAGAACCGCTACTTAGAAACCTTATCACCATGGACTCTTTTAGTTGAATAAGCTTAACAGACTCTCAATCGGTTTAATGGAGGCATGTAGGCCCTGAAGACGTCCAACGGCTGAAGGTGAAGGGGAGTAGTAAATCTCTTAGAATAAGTGAAAAGTTTTTCCCCAGATACAATATATTTGCCAGTATTATGTTCTAGAGACCTGGAGTTAGTTTTGTTCTTGTTTCTGAACTGATGCTATTAATAGATTGTCATTGGGTACATAACTTTTAGCTATCTCTCTTCATTTTTACTTTTTTAACTTTTCTTTTTTAATTATAGAGGTAATACTTATTCACTGTAGAAACATGTTAAAATGCAAGTGAAAGGAATGATGAACTAATTATAGGTTGTATAAAAATAGACTTATTCAGGCTAGCTTAAAACCCACTTTTTATAACTGATAAAACAGCAAGAATCAAGAGACCCCTACCTATACAAATAATTTAAAAATTAGCCATGTGTAAGATTGGGCCCCGTGACTCACCCCTGTAATCCCAGTACTCTGGGAGGCCAAGGTGGCAGATTGCCTGAGCTAATGAGTTCCAGACCAGCCTGAGCTAGAGCGAAACCCCATTTCTAAAACATAGCCCAGTGTTGTGGTGGGCCTCTGTAGTTCCAGCTATTCAGGAGGCTGAGGCAAGAGAATTGCTTGACCCCAAGAGTCTGAAGTCTCTGTGAGCTATGACACCATGGCACTCTACCTGGGGCAACAAAGTGAGACTCTGTCTCAAAAATAAAATAACATCTGTAGTCCCAACTTTTTAAGAGGCTGAGGTAGGAGAATCTCACGTTAGCCCTGAAGTCTCTGTGAGCTATGACACCATGGCACTCTACCTGGGGCAACAAAGTGAGACTCTGTCTCAAAAATAAAATAACATCTGTAGTCCCAACTTTTTAAGAGGCTGAGGTAGGAGAATCTCACGTTAGCCCAGGAGTTTGAGGCCACAGCGAGCCATGATCCAGGCACTGCACAGCCTGGGCAACAATTAAAAAAAACTCTAAAAATAGTAACAGCAACAGAAACTCAGCAAGAACATCTTTCCTTGCTAATACACATCTACATCTAGGATTCACATATTGAGATCCTGTTGCGTGCGAGGGGCTGGGAATGTTCTGGTGGCCCTCAGCCTGTAAGGCAGATAATATGGGGAGGGGGTGAACAATCAAACACACACAGCAAAGTCTAAGTGCAGCTATGGAGAAGTACCGGGTTGTGTGGGGACACTGGGCCAGAGCACAGGACAATGTAGGAGAGGTCAAGTCTCCAGAGCTTCATGGAGGAGTTTTCTGATTACCCAAAAGAAACTTATGGGGGGAATGAGCCTCTGAAAAAAACCCAGACAGGAAAGTAAGTAACTGTTTTTTGAGACAAAGACTCCCTGTCACCTAGCTAGATATAGGGGTATCATCATAGCTCACAGCAACCTCAAACTCCTGGGCCCAAGTGATACTCCTGCCTTAGCCTCCCAAGTAGTTTGTACCTGACTAAGGTTTTTTTCTATTTTTAGTATAGACAGGGACTCACTCTTGCTTGGACTGGAAAGAAAATAATTTAAAGGCATGAATGAATAGCATTCATACTTCTTACATTTGTACAAGAGAAATAAGTTAATTTTGTTCAAATGCTTTTGTAGTTCTTTATTATTACAACATAAGTAATATATTGCTCATTTTTCAGGGAAATATTTTCATGAAGTAAACTTGTCAAATACAAATTTCCCACAGCCCAGGAATTAGACTCTTGGCTGGCTGCAAAACATTAAAACTCACTTTAAAAGGTTTTAGTTAGCCAGGTTTTGATCTCATGGTGTTTTCATTTTTAGCTTTGTTTGAAGATTTGCATAAGGACTTTACTCAAAGAAATTAGGGCCCTGATCAATGTAGATGTTGCCTATGTGATATGTGTGTGTGTGTGTGTGTGTGTGTGTGTGTGTAGTAGATGGGGTTTTCCCTTCCTGACTTTCTTGTAGCCAGATGTCTGCAGACAGGAACTGGCCATGCCACTGGGGAACTTTGGCTGGTACTCTTTTAAGTCCACGGAGGTGATGGCACAACTTAAAAAATTTTAGTATTTTTAGCATTTATAAGTGTATACGTTAGTGGCATTAATACACATCTGCATGGTTGTGTGTACATCCATTTCTAGAACTTTCTCATCATCCCTAACTTTTCAGTCTTTGCCTTATTTTCCTTCCCCCAGCCCCTGGTAACCACCGTTCTACTTTACATCTCTATGATTTTGACTGCTCTAGTACCTTATACATGTATAAGTGAGTTATACAGTATTTAGCCTTTTCTACCTGTCTTATTTCACTTAGCATAGTGTTTTCAAGGTTCATCCAAGTTGTAGCCTATGTCAGACTTTCCTTCCTCGTTCAGGCTGAATACTATCCCCCATTATATGACTAGACCACAGTTTTTTATCCATTCAGCCATTCATAGACCTTTGAGTTGTTTCCACTTTTTAGCTATTGTGAATAATGCTACTATTAACATGGGAATTTAAATATATATTTAAGAACCTGTTTTAAATTCTTTGAGTACTTACCCAGAAGTGGAATTGCTAGATCAAATGATAATTCTATATTTAAGTTTTTGAGGAATCACCATGCTTTTCCACAGTGGCTGTAAGATTTTGCATTCCCACTAGCAATGCACAAAGCTTCAAGTTTTCCATGTCTCCACCAATACTTAACTATATCAGTTTTTCTGATAATAGTTGAGTATAATTTTAAATGATAACAAACCAACCCACAGTTAACTTCCCCACACTGGCTCTGGGGCATAGAAAGGTAGGCAATAGGCAGACTGTCACATCATTTACTATCTTATCTCTCCTAAAAAGGGACGGTGCAGGTATTTTTCCAGGTCTGAAAGAAAGAATCAAAGAGATCAATTAATCAAGTTCGGCTTCTTTAAAGTTGCTGAGGCTCTGTGCTCTTGACTGTCTAAAAAAGGAATCCTGCCGTCTACCACCTGGGAGTTAGAGGTAGAAGACAGTCTTGGGTTTTATGCTTTATCAGAAATTGAGTACTGTTTTTTTCTATACCAGTATTCTCTTGTGGAGCAGTTTACTTAAGTTTTGTTTGAAATTTTTGCTTAATGGGCAGCTATAGAAATAAAAATTGTCCTTGTTAAAATTGGAATAAAAATTATCAAGGATTCTAAGTGTTGTCTGGGCTACAGAGCTTTTCTTTCTCTTTTATTTGATGGCAACAAGTTTTATTCTTTTTTGTCACACCATGGGACATTCCAGGTCCAATCCTTATTTCTGATTTTATATTTTTTTCCCTGTTGAAAGTCTCTTCCACATAAAGTGGCCTGCATCAGTCCAAAGGAGCATTTTTAAGTTGCTGAATGTCTAATGATTTGTGACATATCCCTTTTGTGATTCCATATATAGTTGTTGCATTTGTTTTGTTTAAAATTTCTTTTCCCTGCAGGTTTCAGACCAGATCTGAGTTTGGTCATGGCTGTCTATTTTGACCATCGTGTAGAAGTCCCAGATACAGCCAGCTCACCTTCCCACATCAGCTGGCACCCTGTCCACCCATTCCTGGCAGTTGCCTCTGTCAGCACAACCTCTGGAGGCAGCGTGGATGTGTACCTGGAACAAGTGAGCACTCAGAAGCAAAGATTCTGACTTTGGGCCCTTGTGTTTCTTTTGTTCTCGTGCATGCATGTGTGTGGTATCAAACTAGCACTGCTCTGGCTTTTTCACTAAGGAAACAACACTATTGTCAGTTCTCACTGAGGTTGAATTCCTAATATTATAAAAGCCCTAGTAGATGGGCAGTACTTTTGTCCCTGCTATTTGGGTTTGGGGACAAATTTAGAAAAAGTTAAATTAGGACAAATTCCACAGTCAGTTCACACTCACCTCCCAGAAATGGCCCCACAGTATTGTCTGTGGATTGCAACCCATTCTCCTGCCAGCTCACTCCTTAACTTTTCACATTGGCCATTTGAAACTGTGAGTCATCTGTGGCTGTTATAACAAATCACCACAAACTGAGTAGCTTAAAATAACAGAAATGTACTCTCTCACAGCTCTAGAGACCAGAAGTCCAAACCCAGGGTGTCAGAAGGGCCGTGCTCTCTCCATAGGCTGTAACGAGCATCTGCTCTGTGCCTGTACCTGGGCGCCTGGTGCTGCCATCTGTGATGCTTTTTAGCTTCTAGGTGCTCCAGTCTCTGCCTCTGGTGTCACATGGCCTTCTCCTCTGTGTCTAAGTCTCTTCTCCTTTTAAAAGGATATCATGCTCGATTAAAGCCACCATCAGGACCTCCTCTCCTAAAAATAGAAAAACTAGCCCAGTGTGGGGGGCACTTGTACTCTATGCTACTCAGGAGGTTGAGGCAGAAGGATTGCTCAAGCCCAAGAATTTGAGGTTGCTGTGAGCTATGATGAACAGCACTCTACCCAGGTGACAGAGTGAGACTCTGTCTCAAAAAACAAAAAACAAAAAAATGGTTTCTAGGACAATGATGAGATCACAGAAGATTGCTGGTAAGCACAGTAGAACTGAGTGCAAATTGAGTTGAGCTCTGATACCCCAAAGCTACTTATACTTCTTTAGGAATATCTGGAAAACATAAGAATATACATATATATTGGGCGGTGCCTGTGGCTCAGTGGGTAGGGCGCTGGTCCCATATACAGAGGGTGGCAGGTTCAAACCTGGCCCCAGCCAAACTGCAACAAAAAAGTTGCTGGGCGTTGTGGCAGGCACCTGTAGTCCCAGCTACTCGGGAGGCTAAGGCAAGAGAATCAACTAAGCCCAAAAATTGGAGGTTACTGTGAGCTGTGTGATGCTAGGGCACTCTACCAAGGACAGTAAAGTAAGACTCTGTCTCTACAAAAAGAAAAAAATAAAAGAATATGCATATATAAGCACATATTTCATGAGCCTTTATTTACAACATTATCACATGTCACAGCCTTTGGAAAAACTCCATAGTAGACTCATGGGAAGTAACTCTTAGTATCACTTTGAAAATAGCTTTGACCTTCCAGATCCGTGAAAAGGTCTCAGAGTTTCTGGACCACACTCTGAGAACCTTGGGACCACAGACTTCACCCACTGGTGCACTGCCTATCTTTGTAATAAGGTCTTATTGGACGCTACACCAATTAAAATGCTTGCTAGCCCTCCAGCAACTGTGAGTAGGAGGCTGCGCTTCTTGATAAACTGATGGTCTTGTCCACTTAATGTAAGTGACCTGCTTTGATTTCTCAGCTAGGGACATGACATGGTTTTATGAAAATTAAAGAGCCTACCGGGAACATTGCCTTAATAAGCAGCTCTTTGTGTCTTACAGCTGATGTCGTTTCCCCGGATTAGCCAGAAATTCTTAAAGTAGCTGCCATTCTCCAAATTATGAGATTTTATCTCTTATCTGATGTAGGGTGAGTGTGTGCCTGATACACATATTGAAAGGCCATTCCAGATTACTTCCCTGTGCTGGCACCCAACACGGCTGATCCTGGTTATTGGCTGGGAAACTGGTGAAGTGATAGTGTTTAACAAGCAGGACAAGGAGCAGCACGTGGTGCCTTTGACACACACAGCCGACATTACTGTCCTCAACTGGAGCACCAGTGGGAACTGCCTCCTCTCTGGGGACAGGGTGAGTAAACATGCACTGGCTGTTGGGTTCAGATCTCTGTGTCCTCTGACCATGGTCTTAAGCATATGTACTGGGAAGGATATTAAAGACCAAATTATTTGACGTATGTGTTTGCCAACTTCAGTTGATCTTGTCACATGTAATTGCAGATTTTATTTTTATATTAGAAGCATCAGTCAGCTGTACAGTCCAGCTCATGCCTACATGTGCACCAGTCAGCTGTACCTGGGAAAGTGGGTGATCCCCAGAAAGGGACACTGAGTGAGAATTCTAAAGTCCCATCAGTAGAGAAGAGGAGAGAACATTACATAGGCCAGGCCACTCAGTTCCTCAGGGGACTCTGGCTGAACCTAATGTGAGGGTCAAGCTATGCCCTGATGAATGACAAGCCTGTTGCTAACACAGCTTTTCTGTGATACGTGGTTAGAGCACCCACCTTGTAGTCCTTTTGTTCTGTAATGAGCCACTGAGTCCTGAGCACTCTAGCTTCACATTGGTCCCTTACTACAAACTCTTGCTCTTCACAACTGGGGGTAATTTCTCACTTAGGGAATAGCTTTTCTTTAGAGTTTTATTGTATGAAATTGTATGAATTAGCTTAGAAGAAATATGCCCCAAATATAAAGAAGTGTTGAGAGGTACAAAAAACTAAGAGAAGACCCACGCACAGAGCCCTGGGAAGTTCTATGTTTAGAATCAGGAATAAGGATAAGAATAAAGATATATAACTATTGTATAACTGTAATAATTAAAAAAGGGGAGGAACAAGAAGTAAGAGGGCACAGCAGAGGAGACGAGAACATCTCAGAGTTGGTTTCTAAGTCTTAAACTTAGTGTTCTTATTTCTGGCTCTTGGCAAAAACCTGAAGGTGGGAAACATCTGGCTCATTGCATCTTTGGCTCCCTCCCCAAGTCAGTGGGACTCTTCCTCCCAATAGTGGTGGGCTGCTTCTGTGCTTCTATCAGAATAGCAGGTATTTGTTCATCCGGCTGAGCAGAGATCATTGCTCTTAAGCGCTTGCATCCAACTTCCCCAAAGCAGCATCCTGGAAATCTGGAATGTTGTCTATGTCTGATTATGTTCAGGAACCTGGTTGAGTTGTGAGCTAGAAGCTTGTAAGTCTGTAAAGTCAATTATGTAAAGAAAAAAAAAAAGAAAAAGTCCCATGCTGCACATAAATGTTGCAGCAGCTGAACGCCTCTGAAGATGCTGTTTGTGTGTAAACGACATGTAGATGCACAGGTACCTATGTAGTACTCAGCCCTAGGAAGGAAGCAGGGGCAGGGGATATTTTCATTTCTATCTTTATGTTTGTGTTTTTTCTCATTATTTCCCATCATTTTTTTTAATTACTGAACACAAAGACACCAATAGTGTTTTCTTGTCTTTGTCAAGTTGACAAAGTCAAGAAGAATCAGTTTGATTATATATATTATGTGAGTCTCTACAAAAGTTTTGAGACAGTGTTATGGTCCATTAAATATATCAATTCCAAAACTGTCCTTTCTGTTTCACCTGTGCAAGTTTCAACTCGCTTGGCTTATCAGCGTTGCTGGGAGGGCTTCATTTGTTTCCATCCACACGGATTTTATGTTGCTTGATCTTTGTGTATCTCAAAACTTTCATAATGACCTGCATAGTATTCATATGATATATACATTCATGTGTTATGTAATATTTTAGATCTTTCAGAACTTTTCTTAGAGGTTCATTATATAAGTTCCCTTTAAATCTGATATTATTTGAAAATCGTATTCCTGTATATAATAAAAATGACATTATCATGCATTTGGGGATCTTGGAGTCAATGCTGATGGAAAGGAGGGTGGGAAGAAGAATATGCTAAAATGGCCCCCAAACCTTGAGCCAGGAAACAGCCCTGGAGAGGGCTTGGGCACCAAATGCACAGATTCCAGTTGAAATCACCATTCACCAAGCTTCACACACACTCCGGGTCATAGGATCCTCCCTCAGCCACTTCTGACACAGTCATCATCTCTCTTCTTTGAACTTCGCTTAAAACTTGTCTGTGCAGTTAATTTGAGACTTTGATGACTTTAAAATAAAAAAAATTGAATATACAGTATTGAGCACTCAGATTTTAATATCTAATGCCATTCTCCAATAAAAGGAATGTAGGCTCCTTGAAGAAATGACTGATTCAGAGACTTGGATAGAAAAATGAGCCTAGAGAATCTTAGAAAGCCAAAAAGTGAGGAAAAGCTTACAAAGCCCACCAGGTGGGCGCACATCAAGGGGACACATAAGTCAACCAAAGAGCTCCATGGCCAAAGTGAACAACAGAATAAGTAAGGCAGCCCAGGATTGTCATTCAGAAGAGGCAGTAAATAAATGTCCATGAGTCCATGCAGCTATAAATATTTGGCTGAATAAATAAGTAAATGGTGGAGAAGAGATGAATCTCCTGTGCTAAAAAATCTCAAATAATTTCCATAGATACTCCATTCTTGAGGAGATAGAACACAAATCCCCACTCCTTAAGTATAGTTTACTTAGTATCTTTTTTCCAAACAGTATAGGGTGAAAGTGGGGAAAAGGGTCAGGGGAAAATTCCAACAGAGCACCATGCACCAGGTTGTCCAGAGCAGCAAGGATGAGTTGTATGTGCAGCAGACACCTGGATATGATGTGAGGAAAAGGCGTTTACCTGGATAGTCTTCCTTCCTCAAACCCACAAGCCAGGTTAACTATGAGAAAAACAACTGACAAACCCCAATGGAGTGGCATCCCCTAATATACCTTGCTTAGCACTCCTCCAAGTGAAAGCCCAAGAAACTGTCCCAATGAACCTGGATTGGATTCTGGGACAGAAAAGGGGCATTAGGGAAGAACTGAGGGAATGTGAATAGAGTGGATTTTAGTTAACGGTAATGTTACAGTATTTGTTCATTAATTCCAAAAAAAGTAACGTGCCATAGAGAAGCTTGGTATAGGATGTGGAACTCTCTGCACTATCTTTGTACCTTTCCTATAAATCTGAATCTATTCTAAAATTAAAAGTTTATTTTAAAAAGTTGAACATGGGTGGCGCCTGTGGCTCATGTATAGGGTGCCAGCCCCATATACTGAGGGTGGCAGGTTCTAGCCTAGTCCCAGCCAAACTGCAACAAAAAAATGTCCAGGCACTGTGGCGGCTGCCTATAGTCCCAGCAACTCGGAAGGCTGAGGCAAAAGAATCACCTAAGCCCAAGAGCTGGAGGTTGCTGTGAGCTGTAACGCCATGGCACTCTACCAAGGGCAACAAAGTGAGACTCTGTCTCAAAAAAAAAAAATTAATTAATTAAAAAGTTGAATATACATAGCAATTGTTATCTCTGGGAAGTGAGATTCTTATGATTCTTATGGAGAATTGGTCCATAGAAGAATTTCTGGTTCTTTCTTTAAACATTGAAATTATTTGAAATTTTTGTGATACACATATAGTAGTTTTATAATTTTAGAAAAAGAATTTTTTTAACCTTTTAGTGTGTTTAGCAAGAAAATAAGTATATATTCCATACACAGTTTGATTTCCATCAGTCATTCTGTAAGTACATGTTTACTATACATGTGGCATTGGGTTTTTCCAGCTTGGTGTCTTGCTTTTATGGAGATTGGACCAAAGGGGTCGGGTCCAGGGGACACCCCTGCTGAAATACGAGTATGGGAAACACCTCACTCATTGCATCTTCCGGCTACCCCCTCCGGGCACGTAAGTGTGGGACTCATATGGTGACTGTGCATTTTTTCCCATTGAGGGAAGGGGAGGGCTGCTTCTGACCTGGAGGGGGCAGAAGAGTCTCAATTTCTGTGTCATATTTACTTTCCTTCAGGGACCTGGTTCAGTTGGCGAAAGCTGCTGTGAGTGGCGATGAAAAAGCCCTGGACATGTTTAACTGGAGGAAAAGCAGCTTTGGAAGTTTCCTAAAGATGGGCTCTCCAGAAGGGCTGTCGTTTTTTGTCAGTCTGATGGACGGTGAGAAGCTTAGGTCACGATTCTTGGGAGTCAAAGTGTTTTAAGGATATCTAATAAGGATTTTAAGCTAACGGATGCCATTTCTGCCTAAAATACTAACAGGCTACGATGCATGCCAGTCTTAGTATGCTGCATAAGCTAGCTCTCTGCAGGTATTTATCCAGTGTACAGAGAATGGCTTAGCACTGTTCCGAAAGCGACAAATTGGCCTTTATTTGTGTTTGAAGGGCTTTCATGAAGATATTTTTAATCAGTGATTACACTCTGACTGCAAAGTAACAGAGAGTTGAAAAGATTTTCTCCTGGCACTCCTGTTGTTCCGCCTATGTCATTATTAAGCACTGACTGTATGGCAGGTGCTCAACCATGATCTGGGAATGAGGTATGAGAAGAATAGGAAGGTTTCACTTCCGCCAACCAGCCTTTGTTGGTTGGTCAGCACTAGGCACCCTTTGGTTCTAACATAGCTCCCCCTCCTCAGTGTACACAAGAGAAAGGCTACCCAGCTAAGGCTAGAATAAATGCAATGTGAAGTTAACATAGAGTCTTGGTCTAGGTGCAGTGGCTCATGCCCATAATCCCAGCACTTTAGGAGGCTGAAATGAGAGGACTGCCTGCAACCAGGAATTTAAGACTAGCCTAGGCAACATAGTGTGATTCCATCTCTATTTTTTTTAAAAGAAAGTCTTATATAGTTCTACAAAGCTTCATAAGTGTATTGTTGGCTGGAAGAGACCAAGGAGATAAAAGAGGCACAGAAGTGACTGGGTTTGAGGAGAGGAGACTTTTACTGTTGGTTTTACCAAGCAGCTTAATCTTGACAGGAAGAGCAGATGATGGCAGACAGGGTGTGTGGTCTTTGTAATTTTTGAATAAGAGAAACTTTTCATTACAGAGGGTAGAGAGATGGAGCCAAAGGAGGGAGAGTACCCCAGAGGGATATCCAAATGGATACAGCATTTGGGGACATCCAGGAAGGGGCATGCAAGGACAAGGGCCACTCAGGAAGAGTTGAAGAGATGGTGTGGTGATACATGTCAGGGAAAGGTATTGGTAGATGGAGGGCATGCAGAGCTCTGGAGGAGCCCAGCTGGGGGATGGGATCCCTGCCCTTCACTCAAGAGCTTTAGTCTTTGGGGGCAAGTTACTCCTTATGCAGTTTCCATATGTGGAAAACAGGGAACATATGAAGTGTCTGCCTAGTTATTGCCCATAAAAGTGCTGATTAGCCTCTGGATAACCTTGTACTCTTCAGAGGAATAAGAGAATCTATTATTCCCTGGGACAAGATGATAGGAGGTAGAAGGGTGCAAAGACTCCTGGACAAGGCTCCCTGAGAACTTACAGGAGCATTACCTACCTAGCTCAGAGGGAAGGAAGGAGGCAGCTGGAGCACTGGGCAGCACTGGAGGGGCTCAAAAATTCCAGGCTTGGATCGCGGATTCCTAAAGCTCAGACTGAGAGGAGCTGGTGGAGGTTGAAAGGGATGTCCAGAATGAGCCTGGCAGGATGCAGACAGACAGCAGCAGTACCGTGGGCAGAAGGGACAAGGAGCGGGGGCCACAGAGGGGTTGTCACATAGGGCCTCAGTGGAGGACACGGCATACCTAAAGTTAGCAGACTGAGATGAACAAAGAGTGCCAAGGCTGTCAAATCAGATGGGTCAACAGTGTGGAGAGTCACTGAATGCCGTGGCAGCTCCTAGGTCCTCTGTGTGTCCTATGTAATTCATGCTAGCTCTACGAGTAAGCAACCATGTCTAAGGGACCTGCAGTTGGTATTGATCTTGGCACCACCTACTCTTGTGTGGGTGTCTTCCAGCATGGAAAAGTAGAGATAATTGCTAATGATCAGGGAAACCAAACCACTCCAAGTTCTGGCCTTTATTGACACCGAACAATTGATTGGGGATGCTGCAAAAAATCAAGTTGCAGTGAACCCCACGAACACAGTTTTTCATGCCAAACGTCTTATTGGGCACAGGTTTGATGATGCTGTTGTCCAGTCTGATATGAAACATTGGCCTTTCGTGGTGGTGAATGGGCCTTTCGTGGTGGTGAATGATGCAGGCGGCTCAAGGTCTAAGAGAATACAAAGGAGAGACAAAAAGCTTCTATCCAGAGGAGATATCATCTATGGTTCTGACAAAGATGAAGAAATTGCAGAAGCTTGTCTTGGAAATACTGTTACCAATGCTGTGGTCATAGTACCAGCTTACTTCAATGATTCTCAGTGTCAGGCTACCAAAGATGCTGGAACTATTTCTGGTCTCAATGTTCTTAGGATTATAAACAAGCCAACTGCTGCTGCTATTGCTTATGGCTTAGACAAAAAGGTTGGAGCTGAAAGAAATATGCCAATGTTTGACCTTGGAGGTGGCACGTTTGATGTGTCAATCCTCACTATTGAGGATGGAATCTTTGAAGTCAAATCTACAGCTGGAGATACTTGGGTGGTGAAGACTTTGACAACTGAATGGTCAACCATTTTATTGCTGAGTTTAAGCTCAAACATAAGGAGGACATCAGTGAGAATAAAAGAGCTGTCCATCGCCTCCGTACTGCTTGGGAATGTGCTAAGTGTACTCTTATCTTCCAGCACCCAGGCCAGTATTGAGATTGATTCCCTTTATGAAGGAATCGACTTCTATACCGCCATTACCTGTGCCCAATTAGAAGAATTTAATGCTGATCTGTTCCATGGCACCCTGGACCCCGTAGAGAAAGCCCTTCAAGATGCCAAACTAGACAAGTCACAGATTCATGACATTGTCCTGGTTGGTGGTTCTACCCGTATCCCCAAGATTCAAAAGCTTCTCCAAGACTTCTTCAATGGAAAAGAACTGAATAAGAGTATCAACCCTGATGAGGCTGTTGCTTAAGGTGCAGCTGTCCAGGCGGACATCTTATCTAGTGACAAATCCGCGAATGTTCAAGATTTGCTACTATTGGATGTCACTCCTCTTTCTCTGGGTATTGAGACTACTGGTGGAGTTATGACTGTGATCATTAAGCACAATACTACTATTCCAACCAAGCAGACACAGACCTTCACTACCTACTCTGACAACCAGCCGGCTGTGCTCATCCAGGTTTATGAAGGTGAGCGTGCCATGACCAAGGATAACAACTTGCTTGGCAAGTTTGAATTTACAGGCGTACCTCCTGTTCCCCGTGGTGTTCCTCAGATTGAAGTCACTTTTGATATTGATGCCAATGGCATTCTCAATGTCTCTGCTGTGGATAAGAGTACAGGAAAAGAAAATAAAATTACCATCACTAATGACAAGGGACGTTTGAGCAAGGAAGAAATTGAACTTATGGTCCAGGAAGCTGAGAAGTACAAGGCTGAAGATGAGAAGCAGAGGGACAAGGTTTCATCACAGAACTCACTTGAGTCTTATGCATTCAACATGAAAGCAGCTGTTGAAGATAAGAGACTTTAAGGCAAGATCAATGATGAGGACAAACAGAAGATTCTTTACAAGTGTAATGAGATTATCAACTGACTTGATAAGAAACCAGACTGCAGAGAAGGAAGAATTTGAATATCAGCAGAAGGAGTTGGAGAAAGTCTGCAACCCCATCATTACCAAGTTGTAGCAGAGTGCAGGAGGCTTCCTGGGGGCTTCCCTGGTGGTGGCACTGCTCCTTCTGGTGGTGCTTCCTCTGGCCCCACCATTGAAGAGGTTGATTAAGCCAACCCAAGTGTAGATGTAGCATTGTTCCACACAGTAAAATATTGAAGGATCCAAATTTGTAGCAAATTACGTGGCAGATTTAAAGTTGGGCTGCTATAGTGAATTACTGGGCATTTTCAATACTTGAATATGGAACATGTGCACAGGGGAAGGAAATAAAATTGCACTTTAAAAGCACTGTATTGTAAATGGAAAATGCAATGTCTTAAAGCTGTATTTAAAATTGGGGGGAAAAAAGGTGTGGAGATTAAAATCCTTTGAGACAGTGGTGGAGAAAGAATCAACAGAGACAACTCATGGCAGATCTGAAATAATGAAATGCAGATCATTTCAGAGAGGCCTATGAGATGATGAGCAAATATCTTATTTTTAAATTTATATAATAAAAATGTTTTACTTTGAAAATGTTAAGTAGATATCAATGACTGCTCGTGGAAACATAGTAAGATAGTAGCTTTGCTCACGGAAACATAGTAAGATAAGAGCTTCCCATGTGGTGACCTGCCTTTGTCCACAGGGACGGTGCACTACGTGGATGAGAAGGGCAAGACTGTGCAGGTGGCATCCACAGGCAGCTCAATCCAAACGCTGTTCTACATAGAGAAAAGAGAGGCACTGGTGGTGGTCACAGAGAATCTTTTGCTATCTCTGTACGTGGTGACTCCTGAGGGCGAAGCCGAAGAAGTGATGAAGGTGGGTGAGAGAGCAGGGCAAGGGGAGCACCCAAAGGATTTGTCCACAGCTGTGGAGTTGTGGTCAAGAGCTTAGGGTGTGGCTTGGCGCCTATAGCACAGTGGTTAAGGCATCAGCCACAGACACCACGGATGGCAGGTTTGAACCCAGCTCAGGTCAGCTGAACAATGACAATTGCAACAAAAAATAGCCAGGCATTGTAATAGGCACCTATAGTCCCAGCTACTTGGGAGGTTGAGGCAGGAGAATCACTTAAGGCTTGGCGCCTGTGGCTCAAGCGGCTAAGGCGCCAGCCACGTACACCTGAGCTGGCCGGTTCGAATCCAGC